GTGTAAATTGAGAATGTAGAAAGTATTAAGGTTCTTTCACATGACTTGTGTCAACATTCAAGTCAAATACTGCAATGCGCCTAGCAAAATTAGGATGATTTCAGTTTTGATTGGCTTCTGATCTTTTTAAACATAACCAACGATTAGCAGACTTGTCATGACTTATCATGTGAGCAGTGCCAATGCAAAAATGAAAACAAGAAATGTTCTACAAGATAACATAATTTGCTATTGGTGTCCAAATATAGCACTATTTATTTGCATGTGCTTTCTTTATTGTTTTAGTACCTGATACATTAATTCCAGCGGACTTCCACAATATGGTATGCTTTATTAGGACAGTACAGCGTAGCTTCACCACTGTGATCCAGTGGCTTGACTTCAGTTGACTGAATAAGTATAAATGGTTGTTTATGAAACTTTTCTCCATCGTTTGATCATTATTTGAAAACGCATGGCTGCCGTGATCTCTAAAAAATTTACAGTTGCAAGCAAATAGCATGAACTTTTTGGAAACTACTCATATTCTATAACAAGCATAATTTGGATAGAAGAGACAAACATAATTGAATTAATTTAAATGCACATGGCACTTTACCAGCTCATTTAGTGTGCATTTAACCTGGATTTTGGGTGGTTTGTGAATGAGAGGTTTTTGTGCCGAAATATCGGCATTATGCTAACTGTGTAGTGGAATTTCTGAAGTGCCAGCAATGTTTCTATGATGTAGCGGTGCAAACAGTGGGACTTTTATCCTGTTTAAAGCTCAAATATGTGTTACCTCTTCCGTTGGCTTTCACTGTGTATTTACTACCTAGCAAGTTCGTAAAAAATGCTTTTGCCTTTGAAGGTCAAAGTTCATAGAGGGTTGTGTTAAAGCCCTGACACGAGTCATGTGAAAGGACCTTTTATGTGTGGCAACGTATCACGGCTCAATGACGGAAAAAAGAGCCAGTCACAGCCAGCGAATGGCTATAGTTCTCATGCTCAGGAATTTCAGAGAGTACCTGAAAGAAGATGGAGATCTTTTAATGCTTGTACTTGAACTTTATGTAGCAACTTGGAACGTATAAGGCCCTTGTGAAAAGGCCATTTGATCCCAGCAACCATCTTTGGACAATGTGTGTTTGTCTGACAGAATGTTACATCACTGTCATCACATGACGCAGACAATGTAACATGGTCTCATAGTGTTATTCCTTCATCAATATTCGCAGCTATATAAAGCGCCCAAGAGACACCCTTCAGCACCATCAAACCTATCTCTGCCGTTTGACTCCTAAAACTCTTGTCTGAAGCTTTTCGAGAGCCTTGAGTGACACTTGAAACATCAACTGAGATGCACATTGTTGGCACAAAACACTTTAACCTGAATGTTTGTCTGGCTTGATCTGATTTTATCAGCTGAATGGAAAACCGATCGATGGTTTATTTTTGTTTTGCTTGTATGTAGCTATCATATGTCAGCATATAAAGCAGTAATGAATTAGCACCGATAAATGTTAACTACCCACCATTTCTGATAAAGGTTGTCATCAACATAAACATTTAAAGTCAACATGAAGCATAATTCACCACCTATTTTGCTTCCACAATGTGACGTGTTAATGATGTGTAAAGTGAAAAATAATATTTAAAGAAAAATCCAGGAATAAAAATTGGATTGGATCATGAAAAGTGAATGGAATAATGAAGCCAGACATAAATTCGGGTTTGCCAGCACTCCAAGGGACATGGAGGCTAAAGGTGAAATTCACCCTCGAGAGCAAATCTGACATTGCCTAAATAGCTATTTGGCTGTTGCCCCTTACAACTGTGGTGATATTATCTGGGGAAAAGAAAGTAATTTCAGAGGCACATAAGCCAGGAATGTGTATTAACTGGATTTCATGTTGACTTTAAGCTGTATTATTTATTGTAACACCATCGATGTGTCATAGGTAGCTGTGTGTCCTATTTCCTTATTCTTATATGATTGTGTGTTTGTTTCATAATTATATTGCTGCTGTTTGGAGCTCCCAATCTGATCTTCATTTCCTCTTCTCATTGTGTCTTTAGTTCCATGTATGGGGATGATTTGGGATGATGAACACCAGATCTTTCATATACTGTACATTGGTGAGAAACTCAACACATGAGTTTATTGCACAACCTGGAAATCAGCAAATTGTCCTCTCTTCTTAATATATGCTCCAATTAATTCTCAATGAATGAATAGTGCATTCTTTTAGTTAAAGGTCATTTTAGTTTTAGGTCATTCCAAAATGGAAATTCTGTCATTATTTAATTTTGTTCATATCAAACCCTGTTGTTGTCAGAATAATAATTACAACAAAAAATAAAATGTAACTGTGACTTTGTCACAGAATTGTTACTTTATATCTCTCAGTAATTGTGACTTTATTTCTGTTTTCATCAATCCAGGCTAATTGTGAAAATGTACATGTGACAACATTTCTGGAAAATTATGCTATGTTGCATCTTTGGGCGTTTAATGTCACTTTTAAAGTAAAATGTCCAGCATGTTCAATTTTCTCCAAAACAGATGAACACGATTGTGCCAACAGTTTATTACATTGGTTGTATTTCTGCAGTTTGGAAATGGAATGTCTGGTGAGTGGTGCTAAACGTTTAATAATTTTGTTGCATTGCGTACCACCTACACAAAAACTTACTCAAAACTGAACCGATAATATTCAAACATGAGTTTAAAATGCCTTTCCTGAAGCAACCATGCAGTGTGAGCTCTTTTATCACGTGTCGTGGCTTGTGTTTAACATAGTAGAGAAAATGCGCAAAGAACCACACAGATAAGTATTTTTTAGTCTATAATGTGCCCCGTAATAATTTTGGTGAAAAGAAATGAAAGTTGTTGGGGTTTTACTGACACTGGTGTTCATTTTAGCTGAAAACTGCAGTTAATTGTACGTAGAAGCACATTTTCCCAATGAGCTTGTGTTGGTGTCTACACAATTGTATCAGAAAGGTCATTGTGAATATTCTTCAAAATATCTCCTGCATACAAAATAATAGCAAACACAACATGACGGTGTGTAAATGATGACCGAATCTTTTACAGATCCAGCCTTGGAATAACAGCCAACTGTCACAGAGATCTATTATTCTCCTTTATCAAAAATTTCAACAGCAGCTTAGTCTGGAGAATAAACATAGGTGAATTGCACAACCAGCGGCAAAAATGGTGAAAGAATCAGCGCTAGATTCCTTTCTATTAAATACTGAGTGACGGGAGTTCACTTTTTGTCTTTCTCTTTCCGTAGCCTTGCATTTGGCCCCCGAGGGAGTTGGCGTGGAGGTGATGGAAACAGGAAGCCAGATAAATTGTGCATGACCCTGGTTTTGAGGAGTTTATTATGCTTGAGCGAATGTGCCCTGGCTAGCAAATGAGATGTGATCTAACCCAAAAGATGAGTGTTGAATTAAAGCCCTTCACACAACCAAAGGCTACGATGCTAACACTAACCTTGGTTTAGCCTGCAGAAGGGCTGTTGCAATGGTGCGTTATGCTGCCTTCAAGTCCTGTCAGAATGATGGTATTTATGAGATGAGTGCAAATGAACGGCACCACAATATTGTAATCATCATTAGTTTGTACGCTAAACTTGTTAATGTGTTGTTGATGAAAATAGTCAAAATACTACTCATTTAGCTAGTTTTTGAGATTCATGTGAGATAAAGCCATGGATAAAATACATGGATAAGGCAGCATTTACACACTAATGTGCATCCTTTCACCTTTGTTTTGTAGCAGTAGCGCTAAAAAGCTTTGTTCAGAAGTGAAGACAGGAAGAAAAAAAAAATCTTGAAAGGCCCATTTTATTCTGAACAAAATCACTTGAACACACATCATGTTGTACTTATGATTTCAGAACTCCCAGTAGAACTTGAAGGCAGTATAACATCAAGATTTATTAGCGCTAATTTTGACAGAAAGTTATTGTGTGTGTTAGCAAATTATGTCTTTGAAAGGTAGTCAGTCCCATCATCCAACTGTGAGTTTTACTCTATCTATATTGTAGATGTACACGTTATTAAACATGTTTTCTATCTATTCCAGACCTACACGAGTGGTCTGGTTATTTATTTGCTGTCCTTTTCAGACTGACATGAGTGGTTTGTTGTATCAGCACATGATAAGAGCCTTTTTCAACTTTAATGCAGAGCTATGGATCAACACAGGTCAAAGGTCACTAACAGAGGTCAGCTAACTTATAGTGTCTACTTTTTGCTGTCAGAACTGCTGCTGAAATAGAAGGCAGTAATAAAATATCGCTGCATATTGCTTTTGGTTTTTATACTGCTGCTATGCCCTACTGGATTGTTAGTGTTTGTCAAAGTATGCGAGAATAAAGTAAGACCATTCCTCTCAAGACATTCTTATCAATTACTAATATTTTCAAATCACTAACCTTTAAATTACATGGCTGAATGACATCTATCTATATAGCTCTATTAATGTGTATATGTTGAAGCATCAGTTTTTGTTTTCTTTATTGAATTTGTAACCAATTCACAAAATCTCTACAAATAGAATCCTCAAAATAAAAGTCCCCTTTGTAGCTTTGGTAACACTTAATATAGACGTTCAGAGAAGATACATAGATATATATGCTGTCAGGCCTTTAAAGTCATGACTAATTTTTTGTTGACTGAATAATTGAGAGTCGAATGGAATGAACAGACTGTGCTAATTCCCATAGCCTTGTTTCAAATTAAATATGTTGGCTGCTGTAACATTGTCTATTATAGTGTAATGTATTTACAAGCCTGCTCAGAAACAGTTAAATTATGTTCAGTAGCATCACTTAGTTCTTACTACACTTTAACATGAATACTGAACGTTAAAATGGTGAAATGGTAATGTTCTAAAATATACCCATTTTATACATTAATACAAAGTTTGAACCTAAAATCAGAAAAATTTGAACCTAAAAAAAAAACTTCTGTAGTTAATTTTGCTCAAAAAATTGTGACAAGAACAATCATACGTGGCCTTCAAAATTAGCCACTATAATGCTGAAATCAAGAGAAACACACCACTAAACACATGCATTCACTCACCATCTTGAGGTAAATACTGTGAGAAATTTTATATAAAACAGGTATGCAACAGTTATGTAGACCTTCCAATCAACTGCCTGGACTGGATCTAGATTTATACTGATCACTGAAATTGTCAGTCACTGAAATTGCATTCTCCACTGAAGACAGACACAAGTACTGCAACCCCTCACATTACATTATGCAACATCAGAGAGGCATGTACGGAAATAAAATGGGAGAAAAACAGTCAGACGAACATGTGTATAGTCCACTTCCATCTGTTGTAGACTCTCCAAGAGACAAAAAGTATGGGAGGAAAAGTTATTTTTCCGCTGGTCTTTAATGTCCATTGCACAATCTCAGACAGAAGCTTCATCTGTACTTGATGTCTGTGTGGATTGTTGTGTGGGATCATTGGTTTCCGAGGTTGTGAGCTCAGTGGGTTCGGTCATCTTATGCCAACGCTGAGGAAAAAACAATAGTCAATGAAGGAAGTTTGTTTGCAATTTTGTTTAGGAGGAAGGAGGAAAGAGGGAAGGAAGTTTAGTAGAAAGTAAGTTCATTTGGGAGTAAATTTGTTATTTCAGACGGCAGGAAGTATGCAAGTTTGAAAGGAAGGAGCTTCGTTTGTTTGCAAGTTTGTAAAGAAGAAAGCAAGAACTATACACAGGTTTGTTTGGAAGGAATGAGGAAAGGAAGACAGGTAAGTTTATAAGGGAACAATACATTTGAATATTCAGACATTTGTTTGCAAGCTTGTTTTGGAAGAAAGAAAATTTCAAAGGAAGTTCAGGCAAGAAACATGTAAGTGCTTTCAGAAGGAAGGAAGGAAGTACATTTCACTATTCAGAAGTTTGTATGGAAGTTGGTTTGGAAGGAAGTTTTAAAATAATTTTGGAATGAAGTAGGAAGGAAGGGTTTTTTATAAGGAACAAAGTACATTTGGAACTTCAGAAGTATGTTTGAAAGCTCAGAAGAAACGAAGGCAGGAACTATGCAAATTCGTACAAAAAGGACTAGCAAAGGGTTGTTTGCAAGTTTGTTTGGAAGAAAGGAAGGAAGGAATGAAGTTTAGAGGGAAGGAAATACATTTGAATATTAAGACGTTTGCTCATTTGTTTGGAAGAAAGGAAGTTTTGAAGAAAGTAGGGAAGGAAGGGGATTTACAAGGAAGGCAACGAAGGCAACAACTTTACAGGCTTTTCAATGGTTTGTTTGCAAGAAATTTTCAAAAAGAAGGAGGAAAGGGAGGAAGTAAGTTTATTAGAAAGTACATTTGAATATTCAGAAATTTGTTTGGAAATTCATAAAGAAAAAAAAAATGCAGGAACTATTCAAGTTTAGAAGGAGTGAATACATTTTGAAATTCAGAATTTTGTTTGCCTGTTTGGGAAGAAGGAAGTTTGCAAGTTCAAAAGGAAGGAGGTTTGGAAAGAAGTAGAAAGGGAGTTTATAAGGAAGTACATTTTGAAGCTGTATGGAAATTCAAAAGGATGGAAGGAAGGAAGCAGGGCAGGAAGGACACTGTGACAAAAAAAAAAAAACGTTAGATCAGAAACATTAAAATCAGTCTTGCCTGTCGGATGCTGCCTTTGGTAGAGAAGAACATATAGATGACGTAACCGGGTATTAAAATCATGGAAGAGAGGGACATTAACCAGCCGATGCCCTGACCCCAGGTCGGGTACACATACTTCCCTAGTGTCAGAGGAGTCATTTCTATTGCACTGAATGTGAAAACACCCTACAAACAGGAAACACAGAAGTCAATTCAAACATCAGTTCATTAAAGTCTGTGTAAATCAATATTAATGTAAATGTGTAATTACATGAGAGTTTGTCACACCACACACACAAAAAAAGTGTTATTAACCACCCAGCCAAATTTAAAAAATAAAAAAGGGTAAGCAAATAAAATAAGGTATCAAAATCTTGAAAAAATAAGTGGTATTCTGAGCGGGCAAACCACTGATGCTAATGCGCTCTAGTTATTTGGTGTGTTCGACTTTAAGCAGTGCTGCGCACACCAATCAGTGTTTAATATCAAAGTAGAGAGCTCTCTATAAGCTATGCTTCAAGTCGAACACACCTCTTACAGTGTTTGGGAAGGGGCCATGCTCAATGGCTCCAGTGCATCACCGAGACATGTTTTCAGGCCCACCCAAAAATTCCTGAACACAGAAATGGTGAAAAACTGTTCAACGGTCTTACTCCACAATTCAGTACTAGATAGTTCACAGTCTTTTGACTTTTGATTTGTAATGTGTTTAGAAACAATTCTCTGAATTGCTTTTACGGTGACTTTAAAGACATGGGCATTTACTGGATAATCAATCACTCAATTCATACAGTTGAATGAAAGGATAAAAGGAGTGACAAAACATTTTTGTCTCTTTGGGGCTGTTAGGACATTTTATATTAAACAAACTGCATGCTATTTTGATTATTAAAGGGGTCATGGGATGCCCATTTACCACAAGTTGATATGATTCTTTAGGGTCTTAATGAAAAGTCTGTAACATAGTTTAGTTAAAATTTCTCAATGGTAGTGTAAAAAACAAATTTTTTACCAAGTCAAAAACAGCTCGCAGTTTTGTAGCATTTTCCTTTAAATGCTAATGAGCTCTGCTGACCCCGCCACATGCCATTAGGTCGTAAAATCTATCTGGTGTCAGGGTTGCCATGGTAACCAGGGTCCTGGGCCTCGTTCACAGACAACTTGGGGTGTTACGCATTTCGGGGGAAGGGTCCATAGGTCCTCATATGGCTTGTTAACTGAGGGGTGTTACAGAGTATTTGTTAAATATAGCTAACAAAACATATATTGTGTGTTTGATTGGTCCAGACGCTACAATAATAACATGTTAAGTTCACAGCCCATAATAGTCTCTAAGTTTATTCTCATTGCTTGCAGGTGAAGTACTTACCAAGCAGATTATTGGAGTAAAGTAAATCCAGCAATATTTCCAAAAGCCACAAGGCTGATAACCAATCATATCTTCAATATTTTCATAGAATTTATCTGCGCCTAAAGAGAGAGAAGAGATGGATATCTACAATGATCAAGCAAGCTAGATCTACTAGTAAGAGCTCCTTCTTCCATCAGTAACCCTTGTTCCAATACATACTTGGAACTAGACAGGATTCAGGAACCCAGCATATTAACATTCCCATATGACTCCCTCCAGTTTTCAAGTAGTGTCAGAGATTTTCAAGTAATTTTGTCTTGTACCAATAGTTTATAAATGTAAACACAGTATGTAGTTACAATACCCAGTAGTTAAAATAGTGCACTTACAGTGGAAGTATTTAAGTTGTATTTAACCAAGATTATTTCTTTAACAACTGGAAGAAGGTCAGCTTGAACTGTTCAGTTTTAGAAACTTCACTTCACATTTACATCGAATATATGTTCATAGTATAGGAGATATACCATAGAACCAGGAAATGGAGATTGTCTCAAAGAAGACCAGGAACAGGAGACACATTCCACTGGCCGAATAGTAGTCAAACAATTTAAACACATATAAGCCGCCCTAAAACAAAGAACACACACATTACTATTAGAAACTCAAGAAAATAGTCAATCGTCCTACACAATAAAACAGAAAGGTCTTCAGGTGGTAATCTTTACCTGGGTGATGCTGGAGAAACCAATGACAAAGGATATAATACAGACAATGAGGATGAACAGTTTCTTTCTCTTCCTCAGGACTGTGGGATATTCATCCATTAGAGCTGTTATGAAGCCTTCCACTGTACAAAACTGTCACAGACAAGTGTAAAAAGTGTAAAATAAAAAGCGTTAAAGTGTTGCAAATCATGTCTGAGCAATTTAATTTAGTAAATAATTGCCATTTCAGTAGTTTAGTAGTTAGTTATTTAACAGTATCTAACAGTAATTAGTTATTTTAGAACTAGGGTAAGTAAATAAGTAAGTAAATAAATATATATATATATATATA